ATAAGCGAAAAGTTCACGCGTTTAGGCTCTCCCTAGGGGTACTGCTCGATCCTCTTCTCGATATATTTCTCAGTCAACAAGGATGGTGTTAACCATCAGTATCGAAGTATACATAGCTGGTGTTGACATTTCATGACATTTTCATTTCATGACATGACATTTCATTTGTTTTCTTGATAACTGTTGCTCGTTAGTAAGCATCTGCCTAGTATACGTCAGTGTTACTGCATCGCTTAGTCATCACACCTAGTTATACATCCCATTTTCCCATCAAAAACATCTTGCAGAGGCGAATTTTCGTCGAAGAAGTACAACCCCCATCCCCGCAGCTGTGTAGGAATATCGCCAAAGGTCATAAAACCTGCTAAGGTAGTGGAAGGGTGCTGCTTCACTTCATGTAAACATATCCTCACTGAACCCTGTTCTTTTATTATTGCTCTCTACCGTTTTGACAGAAGCTTCCATTGTTAGGCAGAAACTTCAGCCAGATCCAAATACGAATCCTCTAGCCCGGTTGAAAATCCATTTTTGCAAGGATTTCAGTTTCACCCAACTACGATTCCCCAGCCTAAATGGAGGTCGCTAACGGTCAAACCACCATTTCCTCAATGGAGTGCCTTGCATCATTTTTCGGGATATTAGCAAAGAAACGGGTTTGTTATGGGCAACCATAATTTGGCAGGACCTAATTGCTATACTTTCCTTCTCTGAAATTCCTGTGTTACAAGTTAACACATCGAGAAGTTTATGAACACGAACCAGAAAGGTTAAGAGGCGATTGCTTCTTTTTTGTACGTATCTATTGTCCTTCAGGGCTCTCTATAGCCGTTGCTGACACAGGGCCTCATTACCTGATGAGACCAACCAGGCAGAAGAGGGGGGGGCGGAGGGGAGGGGTTTTGTTGTGGGGTGGGGCGAAAAATTTCCTACGTGATTGTTAATGTTCCCCCGCCCTTCAAATATGCCTGCGCCGGGGCACACGCCCCTCCCTGGTCCCGTTGGCCCTTCACACTATGGTATCGCCACATGGCAGCTCACATGTATAACCTCCGTAGTTGACGATGCCGGCAGGAAACTATTTTTTGGCCTTTCGGTTCACTGGGAGCTGTCCGCATCCCCTACAGCGTGACGTGCTTTCCCGTGTATAGCTCCTCTCTATTTCCTGCGAGTATGTGCTGAATTCTTGCTTTGCTGTTCCTGTGCTTTTCTCTAGATCGGCTTTCAATCACGCTTAATGACATTTTCTGGTCACCTCTCTTTGAGCATGCCTTGCAAATTAAGCTTCCTCGGAATGAGCATCTTATGAGGCTTGATAAATTTTGCAGGGTATTTTTTTATTAGAGACGCCCATGAATATGGCTAACCATATTCAAAAATCTTCTCGAAATCGAAATGATGAGAAAAATTTTTTGACGAGTTGATAAACCCTCCAGGGGGATGCGCCATGTATTTTGCTTCAGTTCAAAATCGTAGTAGCATTTGCGATTGCGATGTTGCCTGTGCCGAACGGTGGACGAGTACATGGGATTTTTTTTCTCTCTAGCAGCCGCGAGAAAGCGGCTGGTGTCGGTCATTTAATCCAAACAAATGAGCGAGACCCAAATGGATGGAAGTTTGGTTGGCCCAGGGGAGAGCCTATTCAGGTCATGGCCCCAGACCGTGAAAGTAGTAAGCGACTCTATCTGCCAATGCATCCCTCCGCCCTCTTTCCAAAACTGGTGCAAATGCGAAATGTCCCTGGTACGCTCTTAATTCAGCCCTCTCTTATTCTTTTGAACGAGTCGAGAACCTCACTCAAGAATAGGAGATTTTTGCTGGATCTACTTATACTGGCGGCTCTTAGCTTAGCTGTGGTGGGAATGATAGGAGTCCTTGGGGTAGTATTTCTCATTAGTTTTGATCCCTCGGAACCCTGAGGCTGGTTAAACATGATTTTGAAAGCGGATTTGATTCCTTCCCAAGTACCTCGTAAATTGGTTAACTGCTTAAATAATTCACTGTTATATCTTTTGAAAACATCGCACAGGTAGAAGTGCTTTGGGAGTGGCATGGATGGAAAATCCAGTGGAATGTAAAACGT